GCGAGCTCGATGAATCTGGCATAGGTAGACATAAGTCGGAGTATTACGTAAGAGCAGCACAAAGCTGCCGGATGAGGGTGGAAAGGGGTGAGGGTGGCACAGGTCGCTTTTGTTTGGTTGGAGTGCATGCGTTTCACTGGTAGCAGCGGTAGCGGTAGCAGCAGCAGCAGCAGCAGCCAGCAGCCAGCAGAGAGTCAGGGTGGCTGCTTGGATCTATACGTGTGCGTGCTTCACCGAGCCACATCGTCCACGCACCCCCTAACGCACCCCAGGCGAAAAGCACGGGGTTCAAGTATACGTATATGTATATACGTATACAGGCGCGTTTAATAAGAATACGCGGCAGAGCAGACAGTCGGTGCGACGGTGCAGCGCTAACATTTTATTTATCAGCGCTGATGGCTTTTCCGTCCTTGCAAGGGTCGTCGTTTCTTTTCCTTTCTGTTTTTTTTTCTTTTTTTTCCTTTTTTTTTTTGAGAAAGCTGAAAGAAAGATCCCCCTGCGCCTCGCACAATCAAGAACACCCGTATTACGACTACAACTTGTCAAGCACACGACGTTTCTTGCACCGTCCTACGCCAGTTGATTCGTACTCGTTGCTGCTATATTTCATCTGGATCTAACGCCCTTACGTGCTGAAAATACCTAACAGGCCTTCCTCTCGTTCGCCGGTATCTAGCAAATTTTCCCTCTGTTTTCCTCTATTCTTTCTTTTCCTGCTGTTTAAAGTGTGACAAATGAAAGCACGGTTTTAAATATCTGACGAGGCTCGAACCAGCATAGCAACACCGGTACGATAACGGTCGCGATTGAGATTTTTCTTTCCGGGAACGAGGCGAAAGGTTAACGTTGAAGTTTCGCCGTAACAGAAAGGAAGTTGAACGAGCCGGCGCGTGACGCTATCGCGATCTTCCAGCAATCATGTCAGTACGGCACACGAGGCTACAGTCATCCACTGATATTTCCTACTCTCGTGATATACCCACCGCGGTGCTCGGAACGGTGAAAAATATTGTCAAGACGGCGTTGAAATATTACACCGTGTCAAGCCGCAAGAATTGCTGCACCGTCGACGATAATCTACCGCGTGTACTGGCCGCGTGCGCTCACGCGCCCACCGACAATTCGTATTGCTCGCGCGAGAGAAATACGAACGGGATGACAATGAAGTCCAAGACAGGTGGAATACCTCTCCTCCGTGTTTCCAAAGGAATGATTATCGCTCGAACTTAAAAGTACAAGATACGCACGCATCTTCGAAACGAGATTTCATCTCGCGATATCGTTCGATGTGCAATGAAAACAAAAAACCGTACACTTGTGTCATCGTGTATAATTTGTTTCTTTTTTGTTTTCAAAATCAGCCACTCGAACTTGTTACTAATTAAGAGGGCAATTTTCCGCCAAAAACGTCGACTAACTCAAGACTTAATCGACCGAGTGATATTTTAATTTGTTCAGGAACATTTCGAAACTTTCTTGTCCACGTTGATCAACGTTCTCCGCTCCTTGATTCTTTTGTGAAGCGGCAATTGCGCGAATCGCGTGAAAGTCACGAGACAAGTAGAAAAGTTACGAGGGAACGAAAGTTCCAGGCTGCTCCAGAGAGAGAGAGAGAGAGAGAGAGACCGAGAAGGAGAGAAGATGAGAGACTGGCTGCTTAATTAACTCGCTCGCGGCGTCTAACGAATAGCTAAACGATCAGAGATGACCGAACGCAACTGTAACAAGTGCTGGCGTTCATCCAACAGGCGTGTCCGAGACATTATACCCCTATAAGCACGAATTTCTCGTCTCGCCTCGAGCGTCTCTAGCTTTTACGTGGATCGCATATCGAGGGAGAGCGAATTTTTAAATTCGCACGATTCCCGCTGTTCTATCCGTAACAGAAATTTCTCAAGATACATATATGTATATGTATACGGTAGCAAGCATAAAAATCGTTCCCCTTCGTGATTTCTGAATAACGTTTAAGAAGAGCGGGGCCTCTTGTTTTCTCATTAAGGAAGCATCGTGGAACAGCATTGAAAGTTTTGACCGAGATATGGAAATTACGGGGTAATAAAGAAGCCAAGACGAACTTGTTATTCATGCTTCATGTTTCACTGGTGTACATCCGATTACCTATCAGATAGGATATACTTTTTCGCCGAGCCACGATATCGGGTCTACCCACTCGTCTGCCTCTTTTATTTTAATAATGAACTATTAACGGACTTCGACTCGCTCTTTGCATACCTTCCTCCTTCTCCCCCATACCCTGCCCTCGTGGCATCGCCAATCAGGCTCTTTCACCCTTGTACACTCTCCACGTGGTGGGTGGGGGTCGGGGGAGGTAGATGGGGGGACAACCTCCGCTTTGAAACGAACGGGCCGACGATTGTAAAACTTTATCGTGAAAGAGAAAACAGGAATTATTACAAGCTCGGTCTCGTCCCGCCACGTGATTTCCCTTAGACGTTATTATTATTCCTGGCAAGTACGTATTTCAACGAGCTCACGTTTCAACCAGTACTTTCAGTCTCGACGAATCTATTTGATCGTTTAATGAGAATACCGATTCCTCTTTCTCACTCTTAGTCGTTCTTTCTCTTTCACGCACACGTGTATCTGCGATTTTTTAATCGCCGTTATCGCACGTTTATCGCGGAACAGGCGTTAATACCAACACGTATGTAACCTGTACGTGGTCTGGCTTAGCTTTGATGGTGCGGGGTTGGAATTCATGGCATTTGATCTGAATTAGTGCGCTTTCCAACAGCGGTGCCGTCCAATTTCTGTTGCTGCCATTCATCGTGCTTCCAAGCGCGAGTTGCTCTCGTTAATAAGGTCGTCGCGATAAACTTCAATTAGCGATATCAACCTGGCGATCGTTGTTAATATATCGCGTCAACGTATGTCGCGTTATCTCTAACTCTCGACTGGTACGTTCAACTACTTCCGTTCCTTTCCTCCGAGTAACAGATAATAATAAGCCAGTTGACTTAGCTCTCTCTTTCTCTCCGTTGCACTCTTTGAGTGTACATCGCGATTAAAAGAAAGTAGCAGAAGTAAGTAACAACCCCTTTAACTGGACGCGTCTTGTCCTCAACGATGCATACAGATCTTCTTCCGGTGGGGTACTCTATCTCAAAGAAGACATCGCTCACTAGTCACGGGAAATGGCTCTCGCAATCTTTTCCCTGAATGCCGGTTGCAAGTCCGCTCGACATTCACAGGATATTAAATGAAAACATTGGACCGTCTTCTAGTCGACGGAACTACCTAATATTTGCCAAGAACGATATCGCAAAGGAACCATCAGCAGACACGGTTCTTTCTTTTCCTACTCGTTTGCTTGCTTACTTGCTAGCCAGTCTCTCGAGTACCTGTACCTCTTCCACAGCGGGCCTAACTTATACTCTGCGGTGGATAAACCGTGAAAACCTCCGAGAAAAAGAGAAAAATAGAGAGAGAGAGAGAGAGAGGAGAGGAAAGATGTTGGAAGGAGGCAAACGCGAAATCGCATAAGACCGAGATACGCTTTAAAATAATCTTGCCATTTCGCTGGTGCACGCTGCATAATGCCACGGACAACCCCGTGTACTACTACCGCTCGGCTCTGGCTGGCCGAATAAACCGAGAGATGAGTAGATTTTATCGCTATCAATTTACAATACGGCCCCCGACGACCGCGCCACGACAGGTTTTACGGTCCCGTTCCTGGTCAACTAACACAAAACGGATCTTATCGACCGCGCCCCGATTGTTTGCTCAAATAGAGAGGCAATTTTATGGTTTATACACTGGCCGCGGGATCGAAACGAATGTTTTCATTTCCCATGAATTAACAAAACATCCTGAACCCTTTTAAAAAATAATAAATGTATACACGTGTACGTTCGGTATCTCTACACATTTTGCTAGTATTTTTTTATTCGGTTTCCATCCGTACTCGAAAAGCGTTGATTGGAAATTGTACGCGTAACAGATTAGCATCGACTTTGTCCACGTCCCTCTGTTAACAGTCGCGGTGTCGAAATAATGGACAACAGCGAGGGGGAAACGCATTTTTCGCTGGAAACTTGGTGCATAACGGCACCACCGTTTATCGGTTGCGTATTTCGAGCGTGACCATTGGCGCGGTCCATCATCGCATTTACGGATTGAATATCAAGACTCATCATCGACAATCACTGGCCAACAAAATGCGATGCCGTGCTGCCTCGTTGGAGATAAACAACAAGCGCAGTCTGTTGCTCCGATTCACCGGTGCGATATGTTTCATTGTTGTTCCATGTCGTATCATTAACCGAGGATAATTATCCGGCAAAGTGTCCCGTTACAATTCACGCACGCTCATGACATCCTGGCTGCTATCGCAAAAACCACGCCGTAGAATCGGAAAACGGTCGATTTCCTCGATCCTTAATGATCCCCCCGATTCGAATCTCTCCCATGGAACAAAATACGTTTCTTTTGATATTTCGTTAATTATTTTCACACTTTGTGAAACGAGGTAGGATATATACCTATACGTGTGGTTTCCGGTAGGTTCGAGCCCATGAACGTTTTCCTGTAAGTCGAGTGGCTCAGACTCGTCGGTTCTAGGGAAGATTATCAATGTTAACGATGCCATTTTGATGGTGGAACGTGTGTGTACATATACGCGTGTAATACACCAAGTCTGCCTAGAGCACCGGGAGTTAGTGCGTACGTTACGGTTACCTGTAATTAAATCGACGTCGGGTCCACCCCGCCGCGCTCTTACCCTTTTATTAATTAACGCGTTACGTAGGAAATTATTACCGTGCGATAAAACCGTCTGGACCACGACAACGATACCCGCGCGACGTTTTATTCTCACCCGGTTATTTTTCATTCATCCACTCCGCGAATGTAATTAATTACAATCAATATCATCGAATTTATACAGTGTTTCACGAGGTTGGTTTATTTCAACAGACGATATCGATGGTTTCCCCTTCGCTTAAAATTCGACGTGTAGGTACGGTGTGTGTCTAATGGGCACAACTCGCGCAACAATCGAATTCCTCCTTCTTCTTCTTGTTCTGACACGGGCGAATCGGCGGTGACATAGTTTTCGTCCCGCAGAATGTGATCGTGGACGCAGACAGGGAAGATTCATCGCTGGTGCACGAGTCTAAAAGTTTCTCGATTGATCCAGGTAACGTGCTCTTGCATTTTCCGCCGAGGGCGCGAGCGCTCCGAATAATAGCCTTCTGCATCGCCTTCTCGGCCTCTTTCCGCTCGTATTTCATGTACTCGATCTCCTTCCGCAATTGGTACACCTACGAACAACCGTATTTTATTAGTGATCGGCGCATCGAACCGATTCACTGATTATTATTCGAATAACGCGGACGAGACTAATAAAGGGTCGATTCCCAACGCGGTCCAGAAATATGTGTTACACGCGTGAACGAGCGAATTCATTGACCGTGAATTTCCCTCTTATTATTCGTAAAAAGTCAGTCGATCGATCGATACAGGCGAAAATTATAATCCTACTTCGCATTCCAACTTTTGGATTCGGTTGTTCTCGCATTTTGGACAACTCCTAAGTGAGCTTTCACGTTCCTTCGCTGGACAAGTCTTCGGTTCACGTTCACACTTCACTACCTTCTCCTGTTGCTTCATCGGACAGGTCATTTGTTGTTGGACGCGTTTAGCCGCGGTACATAGCACCTCTTCGACCTGTCTCGAAGCCCTTTTTCGATCTCCAGCTGGACATGGTACCTTTTTCTTAGGCTTCATTTGAGGACAGGGCACATCCCGGACGAATTTCTTAATTATTTGCTTCTCTTGGCATGGTACCACCTGCAGATGCGTGCACGTTGGCATCGCCTTCTATCGTTTTCGCCGTTCAGAATTTTTTATAAAATTTGACGCATGGTTACGAAATTTGATTACCGAAAACTCATCGAGTGAACCTGCCTGCTGTTCAGATATTCGATATGGCGAATTGGAAAGTGTTCAGATAAGTGAATTCTTCTTGGAATTTTACACGTCGAATACGAGTCCACGGAGAACAAGCCTGTCACTTCTTCCCGTCCGTTTTCTTCGAGATGTTCATCAATTTCGCGCGAAATTTCTTCTTGCAACTCGCATCGTCCTCCTTGCTGCTCTTCGCTTGCGTCGCGCTTCCGAAATCGTTCTTGGACTTCAGCGAGGCACGTTTGTTCGCGACGGGCTGTAATTCGCGGTTCACGAAACGCGACGTGCCGTCAAACGCAGCAAGCCGACTTTCGTACCCAATACTATCGCGTTTTAATTTACTATTCTCGTTCTCCAATCGAGAAATCTCCTTCTCCAGCTGTGCCATGCGCTTATCCTTCTCGGTGGTCCTCTTGATCTTCTTGCTGACCTTCTTGCTCCCCGCGGACATCGCTCGAAAACGGTTTTTTGCTCGACGTCGATGAAAATAGTCTTGGATAAAAATACCTGAAATCGATTACATTTTCTTTTTTTTGCATGGGGAAAAGAGGTGTCGCCACGTGGCAACGGAGAAACATATGAATACATTCCAGATCACATTATATCTATGTACAATGGCGTCAAACTTCACGCTCCGCGAGACCAACTCTGTTTTACGATGAAATACGCGTACATTAAAAAACGATTCCACCTTTCCGCGATATTACGAATGCACATTTCCCTTCGTACGGATCCCTTTTTATGCAGGCAGACGTGGTCGCATCGAAAGAGTAGTACGGGCGTTCGTCGAAGGGCCAAAACGTCCCCCATCTTCCCTCTTGAATCGTCGAACTAAATGAAACATCGTCGCCGGCAGGAGAACGTCGCAATATTTTAACACGACCTCGTAATAATATCGTTTACAAGCGAGATCCCACGGGGGAAAAAAAGGCGGTACTTTTCTCCGGTCCTTTATTCCATTAAAGGCTCGGGGAGAAGTCCTCGCCTCGCCTCGAATTCTCCTCGCACCCCTGGCTGCCAGTCGTTACCTCTTTTTCATCCGGATATCCGTAACGGCCTGTTGCCGATATCGAGGATGGATGCCTTAATGACAACCTCGTTGCATTAACAGGGATCAGGAAATATCGTCGCGTATTCAATTCGCGAGCAAACCCCTTTTAAATATTTATGGAATACCATTGGGTAAACTCTGGACGGGGTAGTTCCTTCTTCGTACACGCGCCTAAGTCCAGCTTAGGTAAATAAATTTCCGTGAAGTTCGTTTATCGAATTCCTGGTCCACGGTCCCCTTCGTTCAATTTCAACCCTTTGCAACAACACGAACATAGTAGAGAAGGGTTCTCGTCTTACCACGGTCGACCACTAGCGCGTGTCGCACACCAAGTGAAGAGAGACCAGCTTCGTTCCACTGTGTACACATATGCTAGCCAGTCGAATTTATTTAACCCAATTAAGGAACACCCCGTGGAGAATCTTCGAGTGACTGCTCAGCCAATTGAAATTTTACACGTGCTTTTGTCAGCTCTCGTTTGACTGGTATGCTCACGGGGAAGAAACGAAGTGAAACCGGACACGGGGCGAGCAGGAGAGATTAAACAGAGGCGAAGAAGGAAAGGGTGTTCCTTGAACGAGCAAATGTTCACCGGAGTAAGAAGCCCTCCCCCACCCCGTATCGAAACCATAAGGTAGCCCGTATACCGAGAATCGAGGAAACGGATATACCATTTCAAGAACGTGAGCGAGAAGATCGATCGACTTTTCTCTTCCCTTCCCCGTGCCTTTTAATTAGTGACCCGTTCGGTAAAGGGATAACGTTGTATCGTGGAGAGATTGTATTCAATGCGGGAGAAATGAAGTCTGTTGAAGGCTTTACGAGCGCGTTAAACGAAGATGAAACGGACGAGGGGAAGAGGAATTAAAGGGGGTGAAGTTCGGATACGTTTGAAAAATATTAAAAAGGCCGCGGGCCTTCTCTTGATCGTTTCAAGATTTTGTTTCCATTCGATTCACCGGTGACCATGCTAAATTCTTTCCTATCTCGCCAACACTGTGCACATCCAGCTTTTTATCTCTGACCACGTACACACACGTATATATACACATACGGTGGTTCTACAGAGAGAAATCCAATTACTACCTGTGCCGCATTTGGTATGATACGAATGGCCTCCGTTCGCTCGGAGCTGCATCTATTTCGCATCAGGTGGAAGCCAATTGTGCAGACCATGGCAATCGCAACCTTCCCTCCTGGACCTCGGTATATAGCGCTCTGCTAAATTATTACAATGCCGATCGAACAAAGCATAGCTCACTGGAAATTCTATGCTAATGAATTACAAAATCGAATTTCACTACGGCAACATTTACCGCTCCGATACACTTTTAGTTCACCCACCTCTCCCCGCTTCTCGTTTAATTACCGATCACATCAAAAACGCGTGCGTACACTCTTCCGCGGCTTCGTCGAATTTTTCATCGAACCTCCATAAACCTGTTACTGCTCTTTGATACGTAACAGAGGGATATCGAAAGAAAAAAGGAGAAAAAAAGAGGGGAAACTAGAAGAGGAGGAGGAGGTGGTGGTAGAAGAAAATAATATTACCAGAGGCAGAGCACGATAGGATCTCGACAGGGAAGAGAGCGTTGTTGATACCAGTCACCATCCACTTCCCAGTCGCAACTCGTCAATTACGGGACACGTAATGAATGAGCGCCTTCATAATTCGCGAAAAAAACTTATCTCCTCGCCCCTTTAACGCATCAACGGGTGCCGTCAACAGGCGCCCGTACGCTTGGCTTAGCCCGGGACGTAGTAATGATTCTACGCAACAGAAGTAAATGTAGAAGACCCGCCACCTTCGTGTCTCTGCTATTTCTCGTCGCGACAGACCGTATAATGCGCGTACGACCGTGTCGCGACACAGAGAACGCACACGTATAGAAGGTGCCTCCACCGAAACGTCGTCTCGACGATCCTTGACGGAAATTCAGAAGTTGCGTTTCCTTCCTTCTTCTTTTTTCTCTCCCCCCACCTCTCTTCCATCCTTTCTTTTTCCCGTTTTTCTTCAGCTTTCTCCTTTCTTTCGTTTCCTTTTTTTTTTTTAATTTATTTCGCAAACGCATAATAGTACTTAACACGCAACGGGCGATAAGGATTTTTACCGGTGAAAATACGACGACTGGAGGATGAAGCAAGCAAACCAACCACCCTCCCCATTCAGGAGACACGAACGAACGTTATTAAGGACGATACCGAACCTCGAGCTTAATGGATTCAACGTCGAAGGATTTCATTTACCCGACGAGCGTGTACACACGCATGTTCTCTTCGACGAGGAGAACGAAGAAGAAGACACGTTTCAGAGAGGTGTGCAGAGAGCGTTTCCACTTCCCTGAGGGAGGCACCCAATACGAACGAACTAGACTTCGAAATCCATGGCCACGTAAACAGCAAGAGGAGGAGGAGGAGAAGTGTATTCGCGTGCGCGCGCGTAATATTGCAAACGCATTTATACTATATGCGTGCAATATGCAAGAACGTTCGTACGCAACTCTCTATAGCCTACGAACCTTGCTTCCCATTGCATCCTGCACTAATCACGGTAAAAGCCGTAGCTCGCACCCGTTATATCCGTTATCCGGCTGTGTCTTGCCTTACTTAATGGAAATATGAGAGGCGTTACACTCGTCTGGTGACACGTCTATCCCGTTTTTTTATTTCTAGTAATACCGCGGGGACATTGTTCCACAAACACGGCCGCCGTTGTGTCAACGGCGCCGCGTCGACGTCAGTCTCTCTCTCTCTCTCTCTCTCTCTCGCTATTTCGCGACAGTTCGTCGCTGGGTGCCTCGCCCTCCATCTGAAATTGCAATCGCGCAAAGGATACATGGCCAATAATAATCGATCCTGTCAAACCAGTTCTTGTCACCAGAAATTAAAGAAAGAAAGGAAAAACGCAGAAAACACCAATTGGTTACACACTCGATTCGTAGAGAGATTGCGCTTTTTCTTAGTTTAGGTTGAAGTATTGCAGGCGAAAAGATCACGGATTCGAAGCAATTGCCAAGTGTTGCGGATAACGTCAGAGTCAATTAAACGCGACACATTGTATCGTTTCGGTTTTACACGGTGCTCTAACAGCAGCGTGTTTTCACGACGATTCGACGAGAGTCCCAACTAGTCGTGTCCACCTGCGAGTGGTAGAGGGCAAATTGTGATTTATGCGGGCAACGTGTTGCCGACTGACGAAAGAGAATTGCGGACGTAATGAGTTATGTTGAGTCGCGCGGCTTAATGCAAATATATGGTCCGTTGCCGTGTAATCAGCCGGTCACTCGACATCCTGTGCGCGTGTCCACCGCGCAAGAGAACCGTGTTCCACGCGATTGCATTTTTTTCTCCGTTCCTCTCTCTGTCTCTCTCCCGCGAGAAAACCATTCGAACGGGGGCGTACCGCCTAGCGATCGTTATATAGTTAACGTTTTTTCCCCGTAACGTACGCTGGTAACTGTGTGTACAACGTCGCGTTTGCCTTCTAGCATCCACACCACCCCTCATTCAAACAACATTGGCATATTTTCCGCGTAACTTCAAGGGTGAACGGAACGCCTAGACACCCTTCATCACAGGCAACGCGGTGGCTTGCGCCGTATGAAACCACCGTGGCGGCAACTCGCGCGGATCAAACATGATGGCTACTGTGTTATTAATTCAACGATAATTTCCACTGCGTTTATCAGTTGGCTAGCGGTAATATTCTTAGGCAAATCCGATAATATTCCACCTGGTATATACAGACATTCGTGGTTAAATAACCCGTTAAACTGAACGGGTAACGCAAATTGTAGGTAGCTAGTCACCGGATAAATTATACATTAATATTAACCATCCTTTTGTAGAACGTAACTTAGGTATATACATAGAGTGACTGATGTGTGTATGGATATATTAGATTATATTTTACGTTCGATCTAATTCGCCATTGGTTCCCGCGCTTTTCACCGAAAATTTCACGGCAGAGTATTCAATAACAAAACGCGAACTAGTTTTCAAAGGGTTGAGGCGCGCGCGCAGCCTCCGCGATAGCAAGGGTCTCTAGGGCTGTATGCTCGTTGAAACCAACCCTTGATAGGTGCACTTTTGGGGTAGCCGGCAAGCCCCCTACGCTAGTGACTGTGCTTCAAGCCTCGAGTGCCCACCGAGACGCGCAAGAGCGAAGGGCTGCGTATACCGGCTGTGTCACGAGACGAGCTACATCCAAGATGAAATTTCAAATATTCCAACTTTTTAATCCTCTCTTTTTAAGGAAAATCCCATCGTGTACCACGAGCGCATGTGACGCCTGTGGAACGCGACGTCGCCGTTCCGCGAATATTTCCAAACGCTTTTGTCAGAGAGGATCCAAGATGAAACAGAGGAGTGAGCTTGATATTTCGAATAACAAAGCGAAAGAGTAAAGAAAATAGGAATATATATTTTCAAAAATAGCAGCGATATCGTGCTCCGTTGATTTTGCTTTATTTTTCTTTTTTTTTTTGGTACTATTGTTTTTCGAATACGCACAGTTAGAACGTTCGCGGTCATTAAACGCACGCTTTACGAGCAGAAATATCCATACCGCAAACTTATTCTTTACGACTGGAATATAACGTTTTCTCGCCGGGTTTTATGGGCTGTCGGGGAGTATCGGCCGATGACATAACGCCGCCCGTAAGGCTCCAGCTTTTCAGCCGAGATTGCCTATGCTTTGCGCCGGAAGCACACATGTTTCAAAAGCGCCTCCTCGCCGCCGCCTTTTACAAAGGGCGGGAAAAAAAAAACACGCACAGAAAGGCTGCCGGTCGCGCCACGCCAGATTCCCATCTGCGGTGGCTCGTCGCCCTGAGAATCGCGACGGAACGAAGAATTATGAAAATTACTTAATACGTCGACTGCTCTGAAAAGAACAGGACAAACGAGAAACAAATTCTAAGCAAAGTAACTACGTTATCGCAATCGTAGCATATACTTTTTCCCGACAAACGAACGTCGGATCCATCGATCATCGTTTAGTTTGTCTTGCAAACGCGACTGGACGCGTCGATAAGATCATCAAGCGCAAGAAATTATTCCACGACTGCTATCGGTATGTACACGGTAAAACCGCTCGATCTCGCATGAAATGATCGCGTTGGTAAAAGAGGAACACAATGTCTGCATGAGACTTTCGCTGAATCGTCGTCGACGTGGCACGACGTGGGGAAAAACGCACGGCAGACGATCGTAAGCGAAACGTATGTACATCATTAGCGCGATATAAAACGAGCGACCTGCTCTCTCTTTCTCTCTTGGAGTTTTCGCTTGTCGCGCGCCGTTTCGTCGAGCGGATGTGCGTGAAAAATAGTATCGTTTCTGCCGGCCTTGTATGCGCGATATACACGCGTAGAAGAAAGTAACGGAGACAGAGAGGAAAAAAGGAATAAACGGGTTTAAATGGCGGGTAATTAAAAAACGGGAAGCAAAATCTGTCGGGGTTACAGCTCATTAGTTTTCAGCGACGGAGAACGGTGACAGAGGCCGCGAAAATGCGAGAAGCTGAAGGGCCGGCTATAGCAGACGCGTTATGTCATTCGGCCGGTTGCGCGCACACGTAGCCATAGAAAGACGCGTGTGCGTGTCCCGCGGCGGCGTTAATTGGCTCTGCGATGAATATTACAAAATACCGCCAGGCTGAAAGGAGAGGCCTCGCTTTAATTACGATATAATGCAGGTCGGTCGAGTTCCTCGCGTGAAAGACAGATACCACCTACCGCACGCGCGTTACGCGAGAAGCAACATCTCGCTTTCATCAAATCGCTTAATATGGAAGTCGCTCAAGGAAACATCTTTCCACCTTTGGTTGTTACAGTTGCGAGGAGGACGATGGCGGCGGGTAACACTTTCAAGAATCGCGCCAAAACGGTAAAATCGCATGCGACAGATGTAAGAAGAAACGAGATTCGGAGATTTCTTTTTTTACGCTGAATATTCTAGGCGTTCAACTACGCCGACGTAGAATCCAGTGGAGCACTGAGCAAACGCGAGTACAAAGTAGCGATGGCGGCTGTTTTTGGATGTCGTCCAGATAAAGTGAATTAAAACAAAAAAAAAGTACCTAGTATCTTTTACTCGATAAACAATGCAACTATTGCTTTGGTCTTTAGACAGAGGTAAAACAAGTTTTCCAGTCCGCTGACGGGATTTCGTACGAGGAATTTGTACTTTACTGGATCATAATTGTAGGTATCTACTATCTGTAAGGTTGTAAAATTGATCGAGTGATAAGTAGGAGATTGTTTAGATAAAGGATACTTGGTACTGGATGATTTCTTATCTGCAAGCATGTCTGTAGATTTGAAAGTAGAATCGTCGTTATGGCAAACGGTATTCAAGGGATTGGATCGTTACAGAAGAGGGTATATTGCTTTCGATGAATTTTTACATGTATTGCCGGCAGTATAAGAACGTACAGCGAGGTAGCTTGACAGAGTACAAATTACCTTAAGCATAAAGCAAATAATATACAAATCAAACGGAAGTTTCATCTTTTATCATAATCGCATAAACTCTTATCGGTATCATTATTGGTTAAAATACGGTCCTTGTAAATTCGTACGAAAATAACTATGATTAATAAAGTAAAATAAAATTGTACCTGTGATGTAGAAATCGCGTTATCCTATGCACAGTCAAAAATAACCAATACTATGACACTTATGAGACTATGTACTTATAAAAAGTTTATCGTATAAAGGAAAATAAATATTCTCGTTGGAAGATACATACGATAAATTCACTCCCTGTCGGAAAATTCTTGATTCGCTAGATGATAGAAGTGAGAATCACTGTTTTCTATCAATAAATTTGGTTCATCGAACTCTAAGACTTCGCCGTCTCCCATAACAAGAACTCTAAAATAAAATAATGTAGAAAACGTTAAATATATGTATTATAAATAACTTGTAAAACTAACACACCTATCACAGTGCATAATCGTCCTTATCCTATGAGCTATAGTGAAAACGGTAGCACTCTGGAATGAAGTCTTTATTGTCGCCTGAATAAATTTCTCCGTTTCTTGATCAACGTTCGCCGTAGCTTCGTCGATACAGACAATCTAAACCGACGAATTAACGACTGGTAATTAGACAATTGGACATCCGAAACTTTTCATAGAAGAATTAACAATGATACCTTGGCATTGTGCAAAATCGCTCTAACTAAACAAAAAAGTTGTCTCTGACCCGCACTGAGGTTGCTACCACCTTCTTCCAAAGTAGCGCCAAGTCCCCCCAATCGATGCACCAACGAATGAACTTTACATTTCTCTAATGCTTTGTACATATGCAAATCTGGATACTGATTTAGGGGATCAAGATTTTCCCTAATAGTACCAGAAAATAAAAATGGATTTTGGGGTATAACAGCTAATCGGGATCTGAAATAATTCACCAGTGATTTCTAAGTATCGATAAGTATAGAATTTAACGCATCCGGAAACAATACCTTAAAGCGTTTAATTGTAAAGATTGTATATTAGTGTTATCGATTAATATGTTCCCGGAAGTTATTTCCGTTAACCTAAACAAGGAAGAGAATAGGGAACTTTTTCCAGCACCTGTACGTCCAACAATTCCAATCTTTTCTGCTGGTCTTGTAACAAACGATACGCCGTTCAAAGATGGCACCAAATGTTCTCTAAAATGTTCAATTACCATAATACTATACTATATAACTAGCGATTTCATCAATATCAAATACCAGTCTCTAATTATTCACGTCAGTTACCTGTATTTTAAAAGAACGTCCTTAAATTCAACTACACCTTGGCTCGGCCAACCGTACGGTGGATTTTCTCCTTTTGAATTTTCAACCGGAACGTTCTCTAAATATTGTTTCACGCGTTCAACCGCAATCATTTCCCTTTCTGCTTCTGTAAATGCATTTACTACGCCAGAAAGTAGTCCAGTCACGGATAACGTATACGTAAAAACAAGGCCTATCATGCCAGAATCCACCACATCGTATTGATGTTGTAAAACAGCTATATTGCTCACTCCTGCTAAAAGTATTACTCCAATGAGTTGTAATCTCAGTGCAAGCCATTGGCTGATAGCCAACGATGCGAATTGCGTTTTTTGACTGATCTCTAGTAAGAATTCGTTTTCTTGCTTGAAGCGAGGTACAGTACGAAAAGCTCTAATAGTAGAGAGTCCATATAAAGTTTCGTTAAAATGTGCGTATAACGGCGAAAGTGCGGCACTGGATAAGCGCTTCAATTCTCTTGACGTTAATCTGTAAAATATCGATAAATTAACGTAATGCTTTGAAACAGGTGGACAGAAGTACAAGCAACACACCTATAATGATTTTGTATCCAATGATAAATCGGTATCAATGGCGCTAATACTAAGAGTATCCATGGTAAACCATAAGCTGTAACAATAACTGTTGCAACCAAGCCAAATAACTGTGCAAATAATATGTTAGCGATAAAGGGAAGACTATCATCGACCGTATACGTGTCAGACGAAAATCTGTTTAAAATTCTACCGAATGGTTGTATGTCAAAAAATGCAGTTTTAGCCTAAAAGTATACATTGCGTTATTTATGCTAATATATTTGCTCAAACATCATATATTCTTATAAGATTTACATACCCGTACTACAACCTTTAAAAGTTGTTTGTGTATAGTAATGGCTGCTTGAATTCCACCATATGCAAACATAAATGCTCTCATTAATGTGAATATTGTATTAAATACGGCTAAAAGAGCATATACCGTCAAATAATAATTAGTACTTAGATTATCATCATTAAGAAAATATTCTAGCTTCAAAGGCTTTGACCTATCTGTGGTATTAGCGGCAGTTGTATTACTATGAGTGACCCAATAAGAGAGCCATAAGTCCGTAATATTTTTAGAACTTTGCATTGAAAACATAGAGAGAAGTATTGCAATTGCTAAATAACGACCTACAGCTTTCACGTAGCAAGTGTACACTCCAAGATGTACTCTGCCCCTTTCTCTAAATTCTTCTTCAAGCAAAGGATCTTCGTTCTCTCTATTAGTTTGATATATTTCTCTCGGTAGATCAGTCATAGATTTAATATCTAAGTCTGATTCTATAAAATCCGAAGATAATAAATAGTCTTCTAAATTGGACAAAACATCGTTTGGTTTACCCTGATTGATTATCCTGCCTTTTTCCATTTTTACTACTAAATCAGCGTGAATTAAATATTGAGTTTGATGAGTACACAATAATCTTGTTTTGCCTTTCAATAAACCCAAAATAACATGTTCAAATACATAAGCAGCGACATTTGGATCTAAAGTCGCCAAAACATCGTCTAATAAGTAAATATCTTTATCTGCGTATACGGCTCGCGCCAAAGAAATTCTTGTTTTCTGACCTCCACTCAACGTGTTTCCTGCCTCACCAATAAGCGTTAAATCTCTTTTAGGCAGGGAATTTAAATCAGTAGTGAGGGCGCATGCTTTTAAAATATTCCTGTTATAAATGATTTTGTATAAGAGAATTTCAATCTTCTTTTCTTTTTTTACACAATTCTGTACTTACTTGTATTTGTTAGAATCATAAGATTTCCCAAATAAGATATTATCTCGAATTGTACCTCGCTGTAACCAAGCATTTTGTTTCACATATGCAAAACCCTTTTCGATATCATTTACTGCTATTGTACCACGGATTTTAATAATTTCACCTAAAATACTATCTAAAAGTAGCGATTTTCCGCTACCTATTTCTCCCATAATGCCAATTAAGTGCCCCTAAAACAAAACGTACACTTTATAAAATTCAATATAATTAAAACGTGGTATGATTTAATTACCTTTGGAACTGTAATATTAATATCATGTAAACTAAAAGAGCCATCATCTTCAAAGCCAACAATCCTTTTAGTCTCTGAACTACTAGATGGACTTGAAACAATATTAGGTGTGCCAAGACCGTTTTGTTCCACGTCATTTTGCTGCTGCGACCTTATACTAAGCGTTAGATTTTGAAGCATTAAATCCACTTCCGATGGTGGTTCTGAATAATATGACGACATATCTGTATCCGATAGCTGTATTAAGTTGCATTTAATTAGTATCTTTAAAATGATTTTATAGTTATAACTACACTTTAGCTGCAACTTAAACTTACATCCAAAATTCTCTGAATTCTTTTAAGTGACACCCAAGCTTCTGTAAGACCATTCAAGACCCAAGGGAATGCATTCAATGGTGCTATTAGCATGTTTAACAGTGCCATACTAGTAAACACTGTTTTTGCATCGAGTTCATTTCCGGTAAGTACATACGTACCAAATGTTAATATAGAAATCAACACAGGTGTTGTGGCCCAAAAATAAACGCACAAGGCATCCAGATATTTTCTGCCACGTAAATATTTAATTTCATTGTCTCGTAATTCTGAGCAAGAAAAAATATAGAATGGTATATATGAAAACATAAGATCAAAAATAAATTCGTGTATATGAAAATATACTAACTTAATATATTCTTTAAAAAATGGTCTTCCCATACATTTAATTTAATTGTAGTTATTCCACGTAATGTCTCCCCTATAAGTCTGACCCTTTGATCTTTATATTCCATTAATTTTGTACTAAGTTTCCCAATTTTACTTGCTATTACTTTATTTATAGGTATAAGCACTATTGCAAAGCTAATACCAGCTAGGAATGAAATCCCTATTTGCATATAAAGAAGATACAATGTCACAACTAACTGGAAAAATATGAACAACAAGAGATTCATAAGTAGTTCTTTATAATTACTATGACCGTTTCATAAAACATGCTAAGAAATTACCTGTAATGGTATGCTCCAAAATGCATGAAAACTGGAACAACTGTTAACAAGTCTCTCACTATCTGTACTCATAAAATTAACAATTTCGCCAAAATTAAATTGTTGCTTCAGTTGAGTACTTGAAGAATGCAAAATCTTTCTATACAACAAAGTTATAACCGTGGAACGAATTTTTAAACCAACCACAGACATCCAAAATGTGAAGTGGGTATTACAGAAGGCTCCTACAATAAAAAACTTATTATGACCTATAGTAGACCTTATACCTGATTATACATTTGATGATTACCTGCTTTCATTAATGCCTACCTATAAAAGCACTCATATATATTAATGTTGCATATAAATATCCATGGGAAACAGGTTCATTTTTGTTTTCAATAAAACCAATAAATTTATTCAATAACAGTGGTCCCATAAATGAGGTCAAGTCAGTAATAAACTTTAATATTCCAACTGAATAAAACTCCCAACCAAAGCATTTGTGCAATAACATAAACAATGTAACTTTGTTCGAAGCAATTTCAACATGTGTACCTAACACTGATTCAGTATTTTCCACCTGATTATTTATACTGTTTGACTGTAACATATTATAGCAGGTTTAAACAGAATTATTTTGGTAATTAAAATAATGTAGAAAGTATAATATTGCATTTACCATATCTTGCAAATGCTTATCAATCTTCTGACTAATTGTATTAGTACTAATATATTCTGGTAAGTCAAATAGATCATCTGAATGATTTAATAAGCCTTGAACACCCTTTTCCATTAGGGGTTTCACCCAATTAAACATAAGTTTAGAGTTTAGTGATGCATTCTCCATAGCAGTTCCAAGATAACTTAGGTCCTGCTCCTCAAGGAATCTTACATAAGCTGAATTAGGTGTACTTAACAATGCTGTCCGTTCTCCTATCTACAAACATATTTTTCACTGATCTGTCATATCTATGTGAAAAATAGACAAATAACTTATAGTGACTTACTTCGTTAAATTGAGATGATCTCATATCCCTTAAATTACTGTGACCTGGTATCAGTGTTATAGTATAGGCTATTAGCAGAATGACTACACTAATACTAAATCCCAATGAACAATTGGGTAAAATATCATTTTGAAAATTATATTTGATATGACTTCGTAGCAGCAATGTGGAAACAACAATTAATAAAAATATCAATGCCCGAATTAACACAGGTCCTCTTGGATTAAAATTCCTCGTTCTTCTTATACTTAATACAAAACATAGGTGAACAACCCATGCTAATCCTTCAGTACCTGCCACAAGGTAGTCAATAGGTTTGACAGATGTTACTTCATCTTTGACTCCAATTAATACTGAATTATAGTCTTGTGTACTAGAAACAAGAAGAGGTTCAGTGACATTCTGAATTTTACTCCTTGAAGAAAAAATTGATTTTGCAAAGTCAATTGTATGATTCCATCCATCTTTTATCTGATCTATTATATTTGAAGTCTCCAAAGAAGCAGATATATTTGTAGATGGTGTCTTGATATATTTATCTATTGAACTACTGTTGGATGGTACACTGTTATGTGGAACAAGAACAGTATTAACAACAATAATATATGCTTTAATTATAGGAAGGATTATAAGGCACACTGTAATTATAATTCTCAAGTTTATAACATAATTAGAACCAAAATGATTAATAGAATATGCATTTCTTTTTCCACAATAATAAGCAGATATTACTGCAATACAGGCTAAAACTGGAATCTGAAAGATATTATAAAGACATATAGTAAATATATAATGTTCAATATGTACGACTTATATAAAGTCCTCATGATTGTTTACCTGGAGGAAAAGTTGTTGAAAGCATACATCAAGGTCACGTGTATCTGAATTTAAAAGGTTAAAATCATCACGATATCCACATAATTCTGTCCAATTCCATTTCCATGTACCTCCATCACTATCAGTTAACCAATTATCCATATTTTAGGGCTATAAATAATCTGAGATTATAAGATACACTAAATAATGAATTTTTTGCACACTACATAGGAATATCAAAGTTTAATTTATAGAATATTAGCACACTGAAATTTATATTACACATAAGAAATTCACTGTATTAAATTAACGGATGAAATCATTATTATCATTGTGTTAAATTTATTATTTATTGATCCAAATACTAAAATTGTTTATAAACTGAAATAGTAATTAAAGACAAGCTGTAATATTACAAGAGATTTATCACATCATAAACAACTCACCCGTG